CCACGATCTCTCCACAGTCCCGATCTCCTCCCGAATGACGATAATCAGAACAGCAATACAAGTCCCGTAGCCTCGCCTCGTCAGCCACAGTAGAACAGAGGCAGCAGCCACGTCATCCAATAATACATGTGGCAGCGGCCACATCAGCAACAGCGAATGGCAGCTGCCACGTCAGCATGCCAAGAAGACAGGTGCAAGCCAGCCACCATGCCGGACCAGCAGCGCCTCGCCGAATCACAAATGCCAGCGTCGCAACGTCGAGCCAGCGTTGAAGTCAACGCGTGAAGTCAGCATCAACGCAAGACAGAATGAATGAATGTCAAAGCCAGGGCTGTCAACGCTTAAGTAGCGTTGACTCGGGGTCTGGACCCCGGATGCTGCAACCTTTAGCCATCCAGATCTTGATGCAAACGAAGGCCCGGATTGGCCTGAAACTGAATTCCCTTCGGCCTGGATGCTTGTCTGGGTACCTGCGCACAACAAGTGTGTGTATCCAACCAAGGGCCTGGGCGCGGTACCTTTGACTCTACAATTGACTTTGACTCTTGACTTTCCTGAGTGCAGCGTTTGGTCACACAGCCAAACACGACAGACTCAGGCCTGGGCGTGTCCTGGTCACACAGCCCAGCGCAGACCAACTTTGGTCTGCGTTGCCTGGGGCTGAGTTCTGGGACCCAGACTACTTCTGAACAGGGTTACTGCACCTGCAGAAAAGTTTGAAAAACCCTATTGTCAAAATTTCAAAATTTGTCATGCTACACCTAGTCTCACATGTCTAGGCCCTCAGATTTATAGTAGATTTATATAAAGAGCAGGCTTACCTTTGTCTGTTTTGATCCCATCCTAAGGCGCCGCTGGGTCTCAATGTTGGTTTGAACTCTGATGAGAAATGACCTGCAGCACGCCATCGCCCACAGAAACACACATACACGCCATCGCCCATCTTGTCAGAGGTTTGGGATGTTGTCGAGACGACGACAGTACTTCACAGGATGGAAAGATAGTCACGCACCAATATAGCCAACTCATTCGATGACATCCATGCACATTGCACATGCTTACCAATGAGAAAATATAGGAAAGAAGATAGAGAGTTGACAAAGGGAGATTTGGGATGGCCAGTCTGCTCGCTCTTGCGAGCGCGGCTCGCCAGCAGGAGCAAGCTTGAGTGGTTGTATGCCTGCTGGGTGCAAGGCCAACTCAGGTCACAAGATGAATCGGTCCATCAGATGAACTGATGATCCTGCCGGTTGGAGTACCGATGGGAATCATAATCCCAACCAGAATCTGAACCACAAGATAATTGTAGATAAATTGTAGATAGCTTGAGATAATAGCAATCAATGATAGCCAAATTATCATCTGCCAGGCAGGCAGATTTGTATCCACAATTACAGAATCATCCCGCAGCCAGAAAACCCAGTTCACATGGGACCACCTCACCTGGGCCACATAGCACCACCTGGGCAGGCAGAACTGTAGCCAAAATATCAACCCGCGGCACCGCTAGGTGGTGCTATGCGGCCCAGGTGAGGTGGTCCCATGTGACTGGGTTTCTGGCTGCGGAATTCTACTGTGTGGGATGGGTCGTACTGTGTGGACTGGATGGTACCGCGTAGGCTGGGTGGGACCGAGTGGGTTGGATGGGATTACGTGGGCGGGGTGTTAATGCTATGTGCACTGGGC